GGGACCTCTTGTTTTCTTTAGGAGAAGACACTTTAAATAAACCAGTGGGTCAGGCCTGTGGTGTTCATGAAGATTGTTTTACAAACAGGTGTTCTTTGACCATTGACTCTTGTAAGTGGTATTGAAGGCTGTAATTTCTCCTTGGGTTTTCACTTGCTGTGTAAGATCTCTTTTTGTCTATCATGTTTATCGTGGCATATACGTAGGCTCTCTTTTCTTTCCAAGAGAGTAACCAGTGATGTCATTGCATTTTGTACCAACCAGTTTACAACTGCAAAGGACGTTGAGTTGACATCCTGCTCGCTTTGTGCCTTGACATGACGTGTAGAGGCATCCCCAGTTCTTTCAACCTCTTCTTTTTGTTACCCTTTCAATCGTTTTCATGCCGAGTCCTTTTTGCAGAGATCAAAGGCAACATAACTGTTGTATTATCAGCTGATGTGACATTAGCCTGGTCACGTTGATCCCTTTCCATTGCGCTGAGGGTCAGAGGTGACGCAGCAAGCGTGGCATCATCTTATTGAATGTTCTAGCGGCATGTAAGTTAAGGTTTGATATAAAGATAAAGCCTTATGTTATGACACTGAGAAAATAATCTACACTAAAACACAAACGAAATGAACTTTGAAAGAAATTCGAAAGATGTTTCAGGAGGTAATGACTGCAATAAACACTATAAAGAAAAGCACTTTAAAAAACAACGATCGTTGGGGGCAGACGGTGTGCTGGACAGGTCCCACATTTTTTTTTCTGAGTGAGTAAAGAACGAGAAGCTACCGACAAAGTCCGGAGACGAGTCGAAGCTGGGGTTAGTCGGTAACGTAGCACGTGGCCGCTCATTGTTAGCGCGACAAAAACAGTCAACCCTCATTCCCTCCCTCGCAGGTGGGATAGTCGGAAACATCGGGCTAAAATCCGATGGATGCCGGGTTATACGGTTTTATTTCTAATGTTTTAAAGACATTTCTAGACAAAATTTAGATCTGACTATGAGTGAGCATATGAAATAATAATAATAATAATAATAATAGATCGCATTTGTATAGTGCATATCCCCGCTCAACAGCAGGCTCTATGCGCTTTACACTATATTATTACCCCAGCAGACCATAGTACACTCCGAAACATTCTCAGCTTCCCGGGAAGCATACAGTGCGAGCAGCCGATTAAGCGCTCAAACACAAACAAACTGACAAGATCTTTCGCTGTCTATAGCCGGGTACCCATTCCCACCTGGGTGAAGTGAGGAAAATTCGTGTAAAGTGCCTTTCCCAAGGACACAACGGCGGGCCCTTGACAGGATTCGAACCCACGACCTTACGGTTGCGAGTCCGAGAGCCTAAGACAATTTGCTATCGATAGAGCCAATAAAATTTTTTTTGACATTTTGTGGGTTAGTCGGATTTATCACCAGGCCGACGATATATACAAATACAATTAGGGGAAGGCCGTTGTTATTCGGACTCGAGTCCGAATAACATTTTTTCATATTCGGACTCGAGTCCGAATAAAAAAATTTCTTATTCGGACTCGAGTCCGAATATATGGAAAAATGTTATTCGGACTCGAGTCCGGAAAAAAGGAAGTGTCTTCGTTCTATAGATCTAACGTTCAGTGCTTCCAATTTTCCGCCATTTTTAGTTTCCCCCACACCTCATCTGCCGATCCAATGCCCGCCGCCTCATTGATACGCCCCCCCCCCCCCCCCGTTTCCCACTTTCTTTGTTGTAGAAAAAGGTAAAATTGAAGATAAGCAGACCACCTGGCACCTGCATATTATGAGCTGTGTAAAAAAAAAAAGACCGATTCGTTCAAATACACAAGCCTGTGTCATATCGATTGTTTACCAAGAAAAAATTGTGTTGCTGTGTAGAGCTGAGCATACGGCAACTTTTGATTCCACAGACCAGCGCACAATTCATTACGTAGATCTACGTCAAGACTAGCTTATTATTGTAATAATGATCAGTTGCCGGTGGGAAAAAGACTGACGCGTATGCGACGTTCAAAGCCCAGACCGATAGTGCCCACCACCCTCCCCGACACGCACACAGCCAAACGTGTGCAGACCGCCCATCCGACCCCGTCACACGCTAACGAGCCATCTTTAATTGCTTCTGATGACCTCACATTTATTAGAAGCGCTCTAACTTTTCAGGCTGGCCTCAAATTCATCATAAGATTAAAGGAAGTGGCTATTCTCATCCGGGGTGAGAATAGAAAAACGATCTACCTCTCACCCCGGGTGAGACTTGCCAGCGTAGGCTATTCTCACCCGGTGCGAAACAAGACCTGCTTTTCCTCATTTTGGAATACTGTCTATCGGTGTGGATGATCAAATTGATAAAAGCCAAGAAAAAATTACGTTATAGCACAAAAGTAAGCTAATTTAATCGTCTTCAAAGATGCTATGGCTATTTCACTGTTCGAATCGAGCCGAACTACGCGGGTCGCCATTTTGTTTTGCCCGGAAGTTCTCCTAAGATCTACTCCTCCCCTCTCTCTCTCTCTCTGTCTCTTTCTGAATACTGTCTATCGGTGTGGACGATCAAATTGACCAAAACAAAGTTAAAAAATGATGTTAAAACACAAAAGTAAATTAATCTGGTTGTCTACAATGATGCAACGGCTATTTAACTTTTCGAATCGAGCCGAACAACGCGGGTCGCCATTTTGTTTTGACCGGAAGTTCTCGCGCTACTCCTCTCTCTCTCTCTTTCTCTCTCTCTCCACTGCCCAAAGTCACTGACAAAATTGTACGCTTTTAGTAGGCTACAGTTGTAATGGAACGTTTGTTCAAGGCACAGAATTCTACAATTTTTCTGTTATCACAGTGTAGAATTCTGTGGTTTAGGGTGAAAGCAAAATTTGTTGGCCTAGATCTAGGCTATAACGGTGAACGCGCACCGGGTGAGAATAGCCAAAAGACTCGCCTGCACTATTCTCATCCCGGGTGAGAATAGAGGTGGCCAAGATTAAAACTCGGCTCCTGCACAAAACGCCTTTTTGCCCAAAGTGATCCCGGTCTCTACCCAGCCTGAGGCGAGTCACGAGTGAGGCAGGACAGGAAGCCGGATTCACGAGTCACAGGAAGTCGGAAGTGATGTCATGCTGGACAAGAATCAGACTGTCCGAATAACATTTTTTCATATTCGGACTCAAACTGTCACAGAAGCTCCAGCTATTGTGAACAAATCTTACCTTGTCACCAACAAAACAAAGTTTAAAAAGCGTACACACTCAACCTAAGTAGCCTAAGGATTCATCCACACCCGTACCTTGCGAACAGACTGTTTTGAGCCACACAACTTGCATTTCCATTTGTTAGTTTTCGTTACTTGCAAGACTTGAAAAGTATTACAGTCTGCACACTGCAAGACATGAAATTCAACCATTTTCCGAAGAAAACAACTGTCTTACTTCTAAGTTTGAAGTTTGTATTATTTTAGCATAATAAAAATTGAATATTATAGAAATCCAACTATTCTAGATCTAGATCTAGATCTAGATCTAGATCTAGAGCTAGAAAAATCTATCTAGAGTACATCTAAAAAAAGGCCTATTTTGCCGTTGCCCGCCGGAAAAAGTAAAAGAGATTCTTGTACTCGGCTGGATGGCAGCACAAGCAGTTTCATGATACTGGACTCATCGGTTTATAATTAATTGTTAAGTTCGTACATTTATTTGGCTACATGTATTTATAATTTATTTTAAAAGATTTAATTACTTCAGCCTGTGCCTCCTTTCATGCTTACTTTTGATTCAAGATTATAATAAAAGCCTCATTGTGTTACAATTATTGACTTTCCTGTTTTTAAGTATGTGACATCCTCACATCCTCACGAGCAAACCACCCCCACCAAAAAAAAAAAGAAAACACAAATCGCCGTTAGCAGACAAAACTTTAAGTGTGTGTGCGTGTGTGTGTGTGTGTGTGTGTGTGTGTGTGTGTGTGTGTGTGTGTGTGTG